TGGGTTCCTGACTCTTCTGCATGACTTGTTGTTATGCCACTGTGTTCTTCTCCAAGTCAAAACTGTAAGTGTTCTCAGGAAATCCAGTCGCACAGTTCTACACTTCGCAGTAGTGTTCTCCTCATCGCTGGTACGGCTGGTGCGGTTGATGTCCACTGCCCGTTTTGGGGCTATTCGGGACGAGGGCCTCGGGTCCAGGAGGCTAAGGTGTGATGCTTGGGGGTCATGTTCATCTCTTCGGGGTTCAGTGGTTCAGTTCGAGGGTTAGGGTTCGCAGGCCCGAGGCGTGCTAGCACGTTGACGACGATCTATATAAGGCTGCAAGCCAACAAAAAATCCCAATGCCGACGCGGCGTCTTCCCAAGCTGCTGGGCTCCACCATGGCCAAAATGGCTTAATTAGGGTTGCTTTCGGCTTCAATCCCAAGGCTTGGGCGCTTTCAAGTTCTTTAGCCAGACCCCCTGAACGAGGGCGGCTCTGTAATCTAAGGGGCTGCAGATGATAAAGGTCAAGTTGCGTAGCTTTGTGTTGAGGAGTCGAGGGCCCTGAAGGGCCGACACCTTAGAGGCTCCTGTACCCATCGACTCTGGCCCTCACCTGGTTCCGGGGTTTAGGGGCCCCCCAACTACCAGATCTGGAGCTACAGGTCAACTGAGCCCCATCTGTTAACAGAAACCAAGCCTAGTCATTAAGAACACGCCAAACTACGAGCTATTGGTCTGAATCCTTGGGCCATGGCAGCCAGGAAGAGAGGGGATCAGTTTGCAGCGGTTTTCGGGGTTTGGGATTTGGGTAGTTCTCTAAATTAGGGTCCCTTTTTCAGTCCCAAATAGGGTACGGCCCCTAAACCCTAAACATACAAAGGGCCCTAAATAGGGACCCCTACCCCTTTTGAAGCTGAGATTCCAAACTTTCGGGCTTCGAGCTTAGGAATTCACGGCCGGGAGGCTGAAAGACAGGGTTTAGGGGTTTTGGGGGTTTAGGTTTTCTTTTTTGGGGAAGTTTAGGGTTTAGGGTTTCGGCTCAGGCCCCAAGGACCCCATTGAGCATGAAGCCGAAAACCTTTAAAGCCTCTAAACCCCTCGAAGAAAAGGTTTGTATCCATCCCTGGTTCCGGGTAGCTGGCTGTCATGTCCGCTTTGGGATCTAGGGATGCAAGTCAATGTTGGATTGGGGGTTCTGACTCGCACCAACGGGAGGTTCAGGGTATGGCCCAAACTGCACAAATGCCGGAGCTCTTGGGGTAGGACAAAAAACGAATGGAACCTGTTCCCAGAGGCAGAATGCAAAAGTGACGTGGCCTTGTCCATTCTCGTCACAAGTTCGCACGCCTTACCGACCCTAAATTGTGAAAAAAACCTTTGGCTTCATTGATGTCTGCCAAGGGAGAACCCCTAGACCCTGAATACAAAATGCTGAGCACCGGAACGAAAGCCTAACTTTTGGCCAAGAAATCACATGGCCGCAAGAATAGCTTCGGAGTGAGGTTTGGGGTTTACGGATCTCGGCGCGGCGCCGTGCCCTCATCGAGGTGGGGCATCCCAAAGTTCATCTCCGGCCTCATAATGCTACAGATCCTTAAGTACCAGCCTCTTTTGTCTTGGGTACATGAACCACCAGAGAACAGGGCAGGGCACGAACCCCGGGCCTCAAGGTAGGCTCAAAACTTCCGGCTTCATGGAGGGTTTCAGGACCTGCAGGGCTTCCGAACCAAAATCTTCTAACAACCGAGATGTTCGAGTTTTTTTGCTTCAATGAAAATGTCCACCGTGAAGCCCGGCCCCGGTACGTACACCTAAATATAGTCCTACACCTTTTTCCTGAACCCCGCTGAAGCTAGTCACTTTACCTATGAGAGCACGACCAAAACCGCCAGCTTCGACAGGGTCCTTGTGGTGGCGCCGAGCTCTACATGAGCTCCTGTCAAGACAAGCAACACTAGAGCACACCGAAACGAAATCGCTGCGTGGCAAAAGTCGTCCAAATGCTCTCCCTTGATCGAAAATCCTATGTCCCTCCTGATCTTGATGGTAGATCACAAGCTAAGCTCGCAACCAAGATCAACACCCTAAACCCCAACCTGCTAAACATCGAAATCCGAAACAAGCAACTGGATCTAAACCCGAAGCGAAACCAAAGCCCAAAAATTCAAATATGCCAAAGCTTATGCTATTCCAAGCAGCCGATCGTTGGAAGCTTTGACGGAAGCAACCTTGGGTCTGTAGATGCCACTCCTGACAAAGAGGCGGGTTAGGGTTGAGTGTTTCTGGTGTCTGGTTCCCTGTTGCGGCTATATTACAACTGATAACTTTTAGTCCTTCGTGGGTTTTTTACTACAACAAAAAGGTAAACTTGTACCCAACAAGGCCCCAGGTCTGGGGCTCAGGATGTAGGGGCATTTTGCCTTCTGCATTCATTTGACTGGGTTGCTAGGGGTTTGGGGGTCGCGGGGTAGGGTTTGCGGTTCCGGGCTGGTTCTTTCCGGTTGCGAGTCTAGGTTGGAGCGCCAAGAGATCCTGACCCATCATGACCCTGCGAAAAACCTGCCACGAACACAAGGCGGGGTTAGTCTCGGAAGGCTGGGCCTCTGAAGTTTAGGGCCATAGGCTCATTCAAAAGGCTCGAGAGATTTGGTTCCGCAGTTGCATGCTAGATGTAGTAAGAACACAAGAGCGGTCGAAAGGGTGTTGGACACGATGTCTGTAACACACCTAGTTAAACTCTTCCCACGTTTAATAAACCCCCCCTAATATTAAAA